CCGCTTTTGGCTGCGGGATCGAATCGCGGAAGGCTCATGCCCTCGCGGAGCGACGCGGGTCGCGCGGCGCACGCGTGTGCGCAATGCGACAATAGACGACAGACGACAGACGCCTGAGCGCTGACGACTGAACTTTTGTCGCCGCAATCGCCACACTCGCCACCGCCGCCATCTTGACGAGCAGCGCGAGCGCCCTCGTCGGCGGCCAGCCGTCGCGGGCCGGGCCGAGCCCGGCCTCGACCGGCCGCGCCGCCGCAGCAGGCCGGGAGGCCCGAATGGCGGCCGACCAGCTGGTATTTATCTTCTCTACATGCATGAAACTTGAAGGGTAGGCGGCACGGGGCCCCCCACACGGTGGCCGAGCGTAAAAAGCCGTGCCTCTTGCTTCACCCCCCCCCCCCCCCCCCCCCCCCCCCCTCCCCCGCCCCGCCCCCGAAGAGCTCCCGGGCCCCTCTCATCGCTTCGCCCTGTGCGGACCCGCTGGGCTCGGCTGCCGCTGCCCAGGGGACGACGGCAAGAAGCCCAAGGGCGAATCTCATCGCCGGCACAGACGACGGGCCTCCTATTCGCGCGCATGGCCGAAGCCTCGTCGGCGCCGGCCATCTCCCACCGCGTGCAGCGAGAGTGCGCGCGTGCTCGCGTGCTGGCGTCCTGGCGCAGCACGTTCCGGAGGCTCTGGCGGGACACGATGACCGTCCCGTTCGCTGCACAGGGCGAGGCCTTCAACGGCTTCATATTGGCGGAGCTCGCCTCTCTTGCCGCGGCAGCGCCTGGCGACAGGCTCGATCCGTTGCTGCCGCTGGGTGGAGACGGCGCGGCGGGCGCGCGAGTGCTCGAGAGCTATGCGCACTTGCAGATCGGCCCGCTGTCCAAGGACAAGGCGGAAAGCAATCTCGCTCGGCTGGTCGGTTCGTATGCGTCATTTCTGCGCGGCCGGGGCGTGGATGCCGAGCGCCTGCCGTCCGACGCCGACGTCCTCTCCGCGAGTGTGTCGCCTGGCCCTGTCCAGTTGGAGGACTTGCTCGACCGGGCGAGAATGGCGGCGCGGGAGGAGGGGACCGTTTGCGCTTCGGACGTGCGGGACAGGGTCGGAGCCTGCTGCGCACTGCTGCTGGAGCAGGGCGCGGCATTGGCGTCAGCGCAGCGGTGCCTGCCGCTCTTCGGCGGCACGAGCGGGCCGCCGCAGTGCGGCGCCGTCAGCATCAAGGCGAGCACACGGCAAGGGGTGGTGCTGGTCAGCCTGACCAAGGAGGCCCTCCCCAGCCTCGTCGCGGCCCTTGGCGAGGGGAGTCCGTATGCACAGCCTCACATGCTGGGTGCGCCGCCAGCTGGACGCGCCGCGCTCGCCCGGGGCCGCCTCTTCACGCGTCTATGTCCGTGAACAGGCGCCGACCGCCTGGATGCACTTCGCCGCTGCCACCGCGGCGGCGGCTGCTTCGCGGAAGATCTCTGGCTGTTGCTGCAGCGGTACGCGAGCCTGGCAGGAGGCGCGCGGCGGGGCGGGCAGGGCTGGCAGCGGGCCTGTCCTGCGGGCTTCCTGGCTGCGCTCCCGCGCATCTTCGACGCCGAGAGGCTGGTCGAGGCTTTCGCCTCGCCGCTAAACAATGCGGCGGTTCTAGACGAGGCTGGCCTCGCGCGCTCCGCCGCCAGGCCGGTGCGACACGCCTACTGCTCGGCATTCCCCGACACGGACGCCGCTTTTGGCTCGTGCGGCGATGCGCTCGCGCCGGGCACCCTCCGCCGCACGACTTTTGCGGGCGGCGCGCCGGTTGTGGTACAGTGCAACCCTCCGTTCGAGCCGGCGCGGGGCCCTTCCGAGATGGCTTCCCCGCCCGCGGCGGGGCCCTCCGAGATGGCTTCCCCACCCGCGCCGGCCAAGACGCCCACCCGCCGGCGCGTCCGCAGGGGTGCATGGGGCATGCCGCCCGTTTGCTGGAGGACCTCGTTTGGTGCGGGGCGACGGAATTGTGCGAGGCGGGCGACAATGGCGGCGACGGCGGCGGCGGTGACGGCGGCGGTGGTGATGGTGATGGCGGCGACGGCGGCTGGCAGGAGGCGCACGCCGACGGCTCGGCTGGCGCATGCCACGCGCAGAGACGACGCTGCGCCAGCGTGACTGTCGTGATGGTGCACCCGGAGCGGTCGTACCTCAAGGCGGATACGGCGGAGGAGCGTGCGACGGAGGCGGAGGGGTGGGCAAGGGCCGGCTGGCGGTGGCTCGCCGTGGAGTCGAGGTACCGCGGCGGGACGGCGGCTGGCCCGCTTGCAGACGGGAGCGCGCCGTCCGTCCGAGGCCGCACCGTCGTGCGCGTGCTCCGGCGGGAGCGGTGGCGGGAGGAGGAGTGGGCGGCGACGCGGACCGCGCTTGCGCAGGCGTGGGAAGGTAGTCGGGGGTGCCGCGGCCCGTCCCTGTGCAGAGTCTAGGGAGGCCGCGTCTCGAGTGGTGTGTCGGCTGACCGCGCGAGAGCCCAGGTTGGTTGGCGGAGATTGACCACTTTCTTCTGCGCAAACACCGCACGCTGGCGCCGCCCGCTCGAGGCTAGACGCTCATATCCCTGTCCCTCCCTCTCGCGGCCTCTCGATTCTCCTAAGGGCCGGTCTCTCATGTCTCATCTCCCGCGCCTCCTCTGCCGCCGCGCGCCGGCCCGCTCTCGCGCACAGACGCCTGCGCAGAGCCGCACTTGGCGCCAAAACGCTGACGCCCTCTGTCTGCCCTGCTCTCAGTCGCCTGCGCTGGCTCCCTGCCCGCCGCCATGTACGACGAGGTTGAGCTGGATGAGGGCGGCGTCGGGAAAATGCAGGCCGGCTTCAGCCGCACTTGGCAGATCTGGATGGACAAGGCTGCGCCGCACACCGCTCCGAGGTGGGCCGCGACGGTGTTCATCATGCTTGCCTACTGCCTCCGCGTGTACCTGATCAACGGTGCGTCTGCGCCTCCGCACTCCCTTCTCTCTCTTCCCGGACCACCGCTGGTCGCTGCTGGCGGCGTGTCGCCACCCGCCACTCTCTGCGCTCGCGTGCGGCGCTGCGTGCGCTCCGTGCGCTGCGTGCGCTGCGTGCGCTGCGTGCGCTGCGTGCGCTGCGTGCGCTGCGTGCGCTGCGTGCGCTGCGTGGCTGGCTGCGCGCGCACGCGCCAGCCGCGCTGTGACGCCCCAGCGCGGACGTCTGCCCGCGGACGCAGTGCCTCTGCCGCCTGCGCACCGGCCGCGGGCGGGAGGTTGCGCAGAGTGCTCTCACCGGCCGCTGCGCCGCGCTACGCCCGCAGGGTGGTATATCATCACCTATGGGCTGGGGATCTATGCGCTGAACCTGCTGATTGGCTTCCTCTCGCCGGCGACGGACCCGGAGACGGAGGGACCCACGCTGCCGACGTCCAAGGACGACGAGTTCCGGCCCTTTGTGCGCAGGCTACCAGAGTTCAAGTTCTGGCGCGGTCTCGCCGCGGCTCTGGCGGCGCGGCGGCTGGTGTCTGAGGGTGCGCGGTGGACCGGTAGGTACGGGCTGACGAAAGCCTTCTGCGTGGCCTTCTGCATGACCTTCTTCAGCCTCTTCAACATCCCCGTGTTTTGGCCCATCCTCCTCATGTGCGCCCTCCCCTGCCCGGGGGTCCGAAGCAGCGGCGGTCCGACGCAGACGCAGTCCTCCGCCACCAGAGCGACAGTCCGGCTTGGCTGCGTCGCCCCGCTTCGCCGAGCCGGCCCCCGCCCCGCCGACGCGCGCCGCTCGCTTGCCTCGGGCAGGTACTTTTTCGCGCTCTTCTTCTTGACGATGAAGCGGCAGATCAAGCACATGATCAAATACAAGTGCGAGCCTCCCCTCCTCCCCCGCCCCCCGCCCCGCCGCCCCCCGTCCCCTCGCCCCGCGCTCCCGCGCTCCGCGCTCGGGCTCTCGCCGCTCGCTCCTCACGACGAGCGACGCTGCGCAGGTACGTGCCCTTCTCGTTTGGTAAGGCAAAGTACAAGGGCAAGGAGGGGGAGGGAGGCAGCCGAAGCGCAGAGTAGAGGCGGGCGGGCGGGCGGGCGGCCCCTCCCCCCTCCCCGAGCGCTCCTCCTCCCACCCCGCCCCTCTCCCCTCCGCCCCCCCTCTCCTGCCTCTGCGGGGCCGCGGCTCGCTGCGCCCGCGCG